TACTTCAGTGTGAAGGAGTAATTGATGAAAGTGTTCGTCATTTTCTTCACACAACTGCGCAAATAACCGCGTATTCAAGGCGTTACTTCGGATTTGGTTTACTGCATCAATGACTAAATGAAGTGATTCATGCAATCTAACACTCAAATTTTTAGCAACTTAATGTTGTCGATGGATGACGCAATGAATTGCTAACACCCCTGACACATTTTGTTTTAAATAGCTTATAAATCCACGATAACGTCCAACCATGGCAGGTGCTCCATCTGTAGCTACTGATATTATATTTGATAAAGGAATTGCTTTTTCAATGAAGTAATCCTTCAAAACATGAAATATTGATTCACCTTTAGTTTCGGTTATCAAAGTTCTTGCGAAGAGCAGTTCTTCGTAGATTTCTTGATTCATAATAAAACGAACATATGCCAATAATAATGCTGCATTATCAGGTAAAGTTGACTCGCCCAGTTGTATAAAGAAATGGGTCGTTTGCAAATAATTACATAAGAAGCTTTCAATATCAGAACTCATTTCATCATACGTCTTTCAACAGTATTGTTGCTTAAGGGAATTCTTTTAATGATATCAGATGCAGGTTTGTGTAAAACAGTTTTTAAAACCTCTTCAATGGCTGGCAAAATTAACTTCTCTCCGATAGTATAGGGTTTTCCGGATTTTGCTATAAGTAACGAGATATTGTAAGACGCCCGCAAACCATCATCATTTCTTTGTGATGTCGAAGCGAACATTCTGTCTCTTCTGAAATTTATCTTTGAGTGCTTGAAAGTATTTCAAATCTTTCTCTGTTTTATCAGGGTGGCATCTTCTCAGATGATCTTGCAGTTTAGATGGTTTCATAGCGTCATTGCCCAAAACTTTGTTGCATAGAAGGCACATAGGCGATTGTTTGTCCGGCAATGATGGAATGAAGCCAAATTTCAAATAATCAACACTGTACTGTCTACATTTCTTTTTAGATTCGGACAGGGCATCAGTCATCTGTGGGCAAAATTAAATTATTTAAATAAGACAGAAAATCCAGCAGCTGTATATTAAAAATATTTTTTGATTTTTCCGAAAACATTCCATAATTCGAACATCTTCTTGCAACAATTAGCTCGAATTACGGAGATTGCACTGTAATTATATTACCGATTGCTAAAACTTTCAAAAAGAAACTATTGCGGAGTACTCGTGTAATTTTGCATGATTGAATATTTAACTACTAATAACTAAAATCATGATTGGCGTAATTTATCTATCTTTGCTAACTACGAGTACAAAACCTAGCACTCTCAAACAAAATAACACTGACTCACTATAATTTGTGTGATATACTATCTGTTTATATTTTTTAAAATATGTTCTTAGCACTTTCCTTTTCAAGATTCAGGAAACGAATAAAGGTATTTGTCCCACATTCGTATTTATAGAGTAACGAATTGAACAAGTCAGTGCAAGGTAGCGAAGCTCTGAGACTGCGACTCTCAGGTTTTTACAAGTTCAAAATGTATTGCGACCACAAAGCGAATACCAACATCCTACAACTTATACAGTTTTATAAACATATATAATAATTTTTTTACTTCATAGGTACTTTTATAAATAATGTATATGTTTTGATATTATAAGATAGTATGATGTAAGTAAATAGGTACTATCAGTGTATGTGTTGAGATCCACTATCGTGGACCCCCATATTCATTTCATGGACCCCCAAATTTTTTTCTCTGACGTAGACCCCTTGCAGGTTGTCATAGACCCCTAGGGGTCGATACAGACCACTTTGGGAATTAATGTGATATAGGGCTATAGAATTACTTGCGCAGCAAATTTTATTGTGGTTATCGTACAAAGTAGTTACGCAATTTCTACGGGCTTCGTATTTGATTCATATTTTAATAATGATCAAAAGAATGTCTAGATTTTTGAGATGAAAAACTGAACTTGTCTGTTTTAAATCTTCCACAAATCCTATATTTAGACGCAATTACACTAATGTTTATTACTTTATATCCGCAATGTCGAACTGAAACACAATTATTTAATTTTCAATATATTTTTGCCCAATATCGCAGGTGGTTATGTATAATCACAGCATCGTCCATGTTGTCTTTGGTTTATTGGAATATTTTGGTGTTATCTGCAGGTGTTATACAGCAATTTGACAAATCTCTGAAATGAAATACGGACAGAGTCGAGTGATTTACTCAGAATTTGTACCAGATCTATATATTCTGTTTGAACATTTCACAAAACCTTTTAAACCAATATGCATGACACTAAAACATTGGTTATGGCATTTTAACTAAAAAGATGACAGCGGAAAGTTAGGTTATGGCGAAGTTGTATACCAACATATTTAGCAACAAAAATGTATGCCGAGCACAGCAATTTTGTACTATAAAAGTTGTAATATTATTGCAGGCGTACAAGCTTTGACAGTTACTAAACAACTGTTGTACCAGTGCTTCCGTTGAGAGTAATTTGTTGGCTTAAGTAATACATTTGCAACCCAAAACAACAAGGCTCGGGTTTCCATGGATACCACAACACAGCTATTTTGACTACCGCGCAGATATGCCATATAAAATAGTTGTATAAACGTTTATGCGACAGTTTAAAAATTTGTCCTATAAAGTGTTGTATAACTATGCTGTAAGAATATTTTCAGCACCTCATTTTAGAGCAAATATGCTGCACAAAGCAAATTTGGATTCCACACGACATTAAGACAGCATTTTGGTGTTCCGGCATCAACAATAGAGAGCTTCTATGGCTAAACAGTTCTTTTACCAAAAGCTTATAGCACTACTTTGCTAGCTGGGAATGTCACTGTCAATTAACCTCCGAGGCGGATATTCGAACCCGCGATCCCCGGGTTGCTAGCTTGACTCGCTAGTCACCGATCTATCGAGGCTCCTTGGTGAAATCAACCTCATGAGTTTATTAGACAAAAGCCCTCGGGTAGCATAAAGTTTGCTGTGAAAATATAAATCAAACCACTATTGCAAGGTTTGTATATTTTTTATTTTTATAAAAACATTCAATGGCCTATTTACAATATCAAAATACTTCTAGGCTACCTTAATATAAGGGTATAATGCTCAAATAAATATACATATTATACATCAATAATATTTGTACTGTAAATATAAACAAAATATTCTTAATACTACTTCTACATATAAATACTGCTACTTAAAATTACAGGATTTGGCTTTCAATACTTATACAACAGTCTACATCACTGCATTATTGCCCCAAACGTTGAAAATTGATCTAAAAATATAAACCTTTATCTTACCTTTTTTCTGAAGTTTGAAATGAAGTCTTTTGTTGAAACCGTAATGCATACCTTTGTTTACTTATGAAATAGACTTAAGACTACTACAAATTATAGGCAAGCTTTTATCTATTGGAATGCATGATATGCAATATCATAGCTTAGACCTCTGATAATAAATATTTTATAGCTGATGTAGTCCAAAAACATATTAAAAAATGGAACATTAATTTCTCGTATACATATCTCTATGAACAGTAAATGAGTAATCTAAATTCAGGATATTTTTATACATTTTTCAGCAAAATAGTAGTCATAGTGTCTTGCAAATGCAGTTTTAATTTGTATCAACTAAGGAAATAGGCTGTTAACAGTAACAGCGAAGGCGGCATCACAATTAAAATGGGGTGACAAAGGTCAATTGCCAGCGAACATACATCTAACTTTCTTAATCCAGGTCATATGCTTCCATTTTTCTAATATCACGCAACAGCGTCTTTGAGCCCTATGAACAATAAATACATACAATAATCTTTGAAAGAACGTTTGTTTTGGTTATCCGACTATATCTAACCTACGTAAAATATCAAACTTTTCATCAGATGATATCACACTGATTTTTGGTAACTGGCAAGATCACTCCCTAAATTTATTCATTATTTACATGTGCTGAACTCACAGCTTATTGATAACAATTATCTCTAATGTAATTTTTTGGCATCGTGTGTGTTTAATGCTAAATAATCTCTAATCGACATAAAGACAATCTTTATAGTAGGGGAGCAGAATAAGATAAGTAAGGATACCATTCTGTTAAGTTTCTCAACCATATTTAAGCCCTGTGTCAGAAAAAGACTAGGTGTGTAAATTACACGCTGAGAAGTATGGATTTTAATAATCTGACGATTTGAGTGTGACGTGAGAGAGTGGGAGAGGTACAAACCTGCAAAAAAATATCTCCTTGACATTCTCGAGCACGGTCACTTTGCTTGATTCTAAAGGGAAAAATTCGAGTATACATTGTCCCTGAAAAGTTCCGGAACCCAATGACAATTTGTGAACTAATAATGGTAGAAAAAACAAAGTGACCTTGGATTTGACCTTGTCGATGACTGTCAGTCATTTAAAGGTCAAGTTGATTTTTTCAAATGGAACCCCCATTTTTGACCCCGTAAATGAGAAGCGTTCAAATATGGTTCTGACCATTATTAAATTTTGACCTTAGGAGGCCATGGTCAAAGTCAAGCTCAGATAAGGTGATATAACTCGAAAGTCAGTAGTCGTACAAGGTAATTTTGAGGTCAATTCTTTTTTTAGTGGTCGTCATACTTTTCACCGCGAAAAAAAAATTATTTTTTAAATATGTCCTTGACCATTTTTGGAAATCGACCTTGGACTTGACCATCAAGTTCAAACACAAGCTTACCTTAATTTCTTGATAATTCAGAAAACTGCAATCCAGACCAACTGACTTCAGTGTTTTTTTCAGGATTGCTCCCTGGCTACCAACACCGACTTGACATCGCACATGTCATAATGTTAACCTACAGATCCAATGTCACTATTGGATATCCGGGGAAAATTATGAAAATAATGTCTCAGTAGTTTCCCTATACGTTTACTGGTTTTCAGGTTACATCACTCTACCTGTTGGACCTTGACCTTAGGTCAAAATTTGAAAATGGAACAAACGTGGGGCATATACAATATCAAAATCTAACGCGTTCAAGTATTTCTACTAAACTACTACTACTAAACCTTTTTTTCTGCCACCTAATCTTCAAAACACAATAGATCCCTACGACGCTCGAGTAGCTGCCCAGTCAACGCTTTGAGCTCCCCTACTATTACATTTTGGTTGCAAGTGGAGTAAATCAATTTCTTATAACAATTGCAATATTGCAATAATTTGATAGCATATAATGAAATTAATAATTAATAAAATCAAAATTATATTTTTCTTAAAATTACATCAGATCAGATCATTTGGTACACCGAATAAGTGTTTCAACGCCAGATCACAAAAACGATTTAATATTTCTTTATCATCAATTATTGTTGTATTTCAAAATATTGGTAAATTCCACTGTATTATTTTTTGAGCTCGATTTTCATCAATCAGATTGATTAATGAGGATTTGCCTCAATTTTTATAAGATCTATTCTTCTTTTCAGTCAACTTATAAATCGTACATTTCAGACAATGACATTGCATTTTTAACATTCAGTTTTAAACACAGCACCACCACACAATAATCTGTAACAAATAATACTTGACAAAAACAGTGTGATTATGTGCTATACTTTCGGACTGGTCTGTATTACCATATTCTTGAGATATGACACTGAAGCGTTTTTGCTTGGAGGAGGTTGAGTCTGTTGGGAGTCCAAGTTGCTGTTGTATCTGCACCTCAAGGTGTCCAAATATGCCAGTCTGTACTGTCTGTTCATTGTTACATAGACTACGGGATTCACGCAGCTTGAGAGGTAGATAAGGAGGTAGCTGGAATAAAAAAAAACTAGATATTGGAAGCCATTGCGATAATAGAGGCCACATATCTTTTCTCCAAAATTTCGCCTTTTTTAATTTTCCTCAATTGAATTATCTCAAGAGAGGAATAATTCAACTCTCGCACAGCATGCTTCTTCAAGAAGTTAATGCACCACCAGAAATTAATCAAATACACTTTAGATAATATGCACACCATTTTTCATAGATAACGAGATATTTCAGTTAACACGTGTTTCTGTCGTACCAGCAATTTCGAGGATTACCTCAGGATAAAGTGGAGGATTCCTGTTTGTTGGAACTGGTTCAGTTCGCGTTGTCAACCGGGTCACCACTATGGCTCTAGATGTCGCCGATTTCGGTGCTATAGTAAATACGGTCTCCTCGCCATTGAATAAACTAGTAACATCGGCTCACAATGCAAACTGGGATACAGTTCCAACAGACAGCTTGCTCTTCTCAGTCTCGTAGTGGTCGATTCTGGTAATCGATGGCGCTTTGAACCATTTCAATATATCTTATATTCTGGCTAGAGCTTTCGTTCGTTGTCCTAGCTGAGACCAAGACTAGACCATGGTGAGGAGTTGCAAAATAGCACGAAACAGTTGTCCATGGCTGTCCGTCTGTGGTCCAACGAACGAAAGTTATATTACTAGGTCGAGAAAAGTTATAGAACCCTCCAAGAGTCCGTGGGTTTCACCGCTAGGTCAATATAAAAGACTGTAGCAAGAGTTTCTGGTTACTTCTGGTTCGGAATAGACTGGATTTTAAGGGTGGATACTGGCAGCTGGAAATGGATCTTGAAAAATGTGCTTTGTTATTGGATTTGGCTGTATGAGTTTACAGTGGTGTCATGCAGCTTAACCTTGCCTCAACAACGTTTGAGAGACTGATAGAGAATGTGCTGGAGAAGTCATGCTGGAAAATTTGTCTCATGTAGCTTGAAGGTATAATTGTAGCGGATCGAACACTTAAAAACATTGGAAGGAGCTCCATTCAAGGCAGTTCCGAATGCGTTTGAAAAAGTAGATATTAAAAAGATTTTATGGTTGTATCTTCATTTTTGTTTTCTTGTGAAACGATTCATCTTTTCTTCTTTCGTCTATGCTACAACAACGTTTGAGGTACTGGTACATTTTTCAACGCAACGCAATTTACTGCTTAATACACAGTGCTTGTTTACAGAATTCAAAAAAAGACAATGACATTTATCAGAAATTAAAAAAAATCAACAGTAAACATGAAAAATATGCACAAGATCAATAAGCACGGTTACAATCACAAAAATTTGAAAAAGCACAAAAACGAAACGAAAACATCTACTGGAATTCTGAAAAGTCACTGTTGAAAAACTCATCAAAGTTCGAGAATGCTTTGTTGAACAAGAATCACTTTATTTTAATTTTGAAAGACTCGTCGCTAAGGAGCTTGACTTTATCTGGAATTGCATTATAGAAGCGAATTCCGTGGTAATTAATAACGTTTCTGGCAGTTTGTAGAAGCTTTTGAGGTAGATTTAACTGGTGGGCTTTACTCGTGTTGTAGATGTACGTATCACTGTGCATTGTATGCAAATGTCAATTTCTATGGATGAACGATAAGCAAGTTAGCATGTACTACTGCGGTAGGGTTAATATTTTCAGTTGGATAAAGGCATCCCTACATGGATCCGTAAATCCTAAGCCACAGAAGCACTAACGCAACATCTCTGCATTGCAAAAACTTTTTTGCATATGTGCGAATGACCCCAGCTGAAGAGTGCGTATAACATCTTAGAATGGAAAAGTCGGTAATATGATGACAGGAAGAAATTAGTGGAACCACAGTTTTCTTAGTTTCTCAACATGTATATACACCTTGACATATCCTTCATTCCACATAATATGTGCATGAGTCCTCCAGGTCATATGTGCATCAATATGTATCCTAGTAATTTAGCAGATTCAAGCAATTCAATGTTATGTTAATCATTGATATATATCAGGAAAAGAATTGGGTCAAGAATTGAGCTCAGTGGGATTCTACCATTGACTGGTAGTTATGAAGAGAATGACCGGTGGGAATAAACAAGTTGATATATTACAAGAATATGATGAGCTATTATTATCATCAAAATTTTGGTATGAAAGTTGTTCTAACAGAATTTCATGTTGAATACAGTCAAACGAAAAATGTCACCATACAATATGAACCATTTTCCAATGCAGAATTAATGTAATCAATGTAATCAAGAAAAGCATTAATAGCTCATGTTGTTGATCTATGACATCGGAAACCAAGGATGTATTTAAGGATTTAACCTGGAAATCCGTCTGATATGAATCAACTGCATAATTGTAGTGGGTCGAACACTTGGAAAACATCGGAAGAACTTATATATAACTTTAAGTGTTTCAGAGATTTCGTGATGCCAACTTGGTCCTGCATCCTAAAAGATGTCAATGGCGGACTCAGACTTTGAGTCAGGGAAGATCACTCGTTGTTAGTCGACCTCCAGTAAAGGCAGGCCCCAATGCATTTAAAATAGTATATCATCTCATTAAAAAAATATATGCTGTCAAGTCTTCTTGTTTGTTTTCTTATGAAACGATTTATCACTTCTGCCAGATCAATATATATTTTTATGGATGTAAAGAAGTACAAGTCCAGTTAGGTGGTATTCTGTCATCGACACTCTCAGCCATATTTTGAGCCTGCTGAGGATATATCTGCTGTAACTACACCAATTGGTAGTGTAGCCAGAATGCAAAGACATTTTTTGATGTTGGGACACATTCCATTTTCATAAGCATCAAAATATTAGTGGTCTATTTGGGTGCGCCCAAGGGAGGGAGTCATGGCTTCCACGACCGATCATGCAAGACAACTATCACCTATATTAGAAACAAGCTCAAACCTCTAATTACATCTCGCCGGTCTCGCACTTTGTTGGTGGAATATAGAATATTGTTTTACTAGTTTCTAGATGTATTGTAACATGACCAATAATAATAATTATATCATATCTCAACCTTACCCTAGGACATGTAGCGGTGCATGATTAACATCCTCATCGAAAATCTTAACAAGCGTAATGGGTAGGTAACAAACGATGAAACAAATGAATATCACCAAGACCATTTTCGTGATCTTCATCTCGCTCCTCTTGTACTTATTTCCCGTGTTGTGCTGCTGTAACTTCCGGTGAGACGTCCGCACCACCCAGAATATCCTGGCATAGCAGACTATGATCACGATGCAGGGCAAGGCGAAGCCTAAGACGAAAAGTGCTATTTTGGCACTGCGACCTTGGGCATCGCGTTTTATCGAGCAGGTTCCCAGTTTTTCATCCATACCGTATGTGCCTGTGAAGAAAATCAGAGTTTGACATTTTGTTATCTAAACCAATAACAATAAGTGATATCGCATATTGACACACGTTTTTGCGAAAGGACCCCGCACATAGCATATGTAAAATGTCGATTAATTGCTATATACAGGGTGTTTCACAACTTATCTGACAAATTTTAACCACATATGTTCTGTTCCGAAAGCAGTTGATTTCTCAAAAAAATGTCTTGAAAGTCCTACAGAAATTAAGTTATAAGCCTGAGTTTCAATAATAAATTGAAAAATAAATATCTGTATTTTGCGTTCATCGTCGTGATATTAGAACACGCATAAATAATTTATTATAGCAAATGATATTCCAAACAACTGACGATAACAAAATATCAGGAATTTTTTGTTTTTTCATACTGATAAGAACGTGTAAATAAGGTTTAATCTGTATCTGTATGGAGAACGGTCGATTTTTGTGAAGTTAAATTGTTCAACAAGAAAGTATTTTGCGAGTTATTTATTAATAAAAAATGGTACATGGATACACTAATGAGGAGTTAGTGGACATTGTTTTAGCGTACGCAGAAGCAGTGCAAGATTCGCGAGCGGCTTCTCGTTGCACACCGATTTCCAAATAGGCACATACCACATCACGAAACATTTAGTTCAATTATTTTACGTGCACGTGATAGTGCAGATGCGCCCACGCTTGCATTGGAATCAATGGAAACAATTTTACACTTTTATAAGTAAGGGAACTGTTAAACTGAATTATTTTATTATCTCGATTTCTGTAGGACTTTTATTACATTTTTTTTTTGAGAAATCAACTTCTTATGTAACAGTGCATATGTGATTAAAATTTGTCGGATAAGTTTCTGAAACACCCTGTATTTCTCGCCTTCCCGAATAGGAGGAAGTTTGCCGATTTACAAAAATGGTGCACGATTTTTGAAGCTATCGAGAAAATTCAAATGCAGCGTGTATGGATTCTAGGAGACCTTTAGAAAATTGCTCGTTCTTCTCTTAATAAATATCATCCTCAAGCAATTTTCTCACGTTTTAGATACTATGGTTATCTTATCAACAAGTTTATGAAAATAAGATTTACCTGATGATTATACAATAATGTAAATATGGCGCCCAAACTCTAGGCTCAGCTCAGTTTTCTTATGAGCTCGCCAAGAGATTGGTCTTCATTATCTTCCGAAAAAGTTGACCCAAACCGTTCGTCATGCCGGAAGCAGACCAAAAATAAAAAAAATACTCAAACTAATAGTCAATAAATTGCAATACCCTAAAGATATGTTCACATTACTGAACTTTTTCTTTCTCTTCCGCCTTCAAAATCAACATGATCTTGAACTAACCTGGTACAGGTTTTTAATCTACGACTTCCCCGTGACCTTGTGCGGCGATCTATCCTGTTGGGTGAGTTTTTTTTAATTCTGGAAGAACTCTTGCCAGATCCATTCCAGCATCAGCATATAAAAATCAACTTGCTCATAATTTGGCCCGGTAACGATCGTGGCCAAGGTCAATATGATAGTTCCCAATATCTTCCTTAAATGTTTTTTAATGAAATGCTTAATTCAATATAATTCTCGGAGTATTTGGCACCATGAGAACTTGTGTTCAGGAAAGTGAGAAGTATATCATTTTTCATAATTATGTTTTGTGCAGGGTCCTCTGATTGTTCCCTAGATATTCTGTATGTAATCGCTTTTTTATAAGAATGTACCTAATCATCACAGCTAACCATATGAAATTTGGACAGCATTAATATATTATAATAGGTGGCTAAAAAATTAATTCTATGAAAATATAGTACGGTCTACGTACAGTATGATTTTGTCGCTGCTGAACGTGTTTTCTGTGGTTCTGCCACGCTGTTAAGGGATATGAAATGATATACCGTAGCGTCATCTAGGAGAATTTGTCAAAGCTATGTTTTTCCTGTCCACACTAATTAGAAATCTACCTTGGAAAGGTTAGTATCATAGATGGCGCTGTAGTGGCTAGGTACTTTAAACAATGGCCCTACATAATAATTCTTTTTCTCGAATAACTTTACTCACCCCACTTTCCCAACAGTATGGGCACTTGAGATCCGTAACTAATAAACCAAATGATGCCAATGTACAATACTACTTTCCATTTCGTATAAATACTTTGGTAAAGATGAGGCCAAGCTATCAAAATATATCTGAAAAAGGAAAAGTTAATTTGAATATATAGATTACACATAAATATCTTGTTAATTTGTTTTATATTGGAACCATCTCACTTTATCGGGTTTCTAGTCTGAGTTATGCACTTTTACTTAGAATATTTTACGAAAGTTGAACAAACTAATAAGAAATTCTGATTAACAAAAACGCTGCTTTTAGTAAATACAGACCCAAAAGTTTTATTCCAATGATGATTTATAGCTGCCAAGACATATCTTGTTTCTTCACTACATTGCAAAATTTAGTAACTAAATTACCAAATAAATAACCTGTAGATCGAATTCTACTTTTTTGAAAATAATCTAGTTGCTTCAAATGTTTTATAATGGTACAGCTGGGAGGACAGCAACCTAAATACTGAGGCACTGTGACTGATATAAAGCTTAAAGACATGTTATTTTTGAACTTCCCAAGGTTAACAGAATTGGGAAAAGCCTCTTCAGGCAAATTGTTCGACAATCTGACAAAGGAACAGTCGTACCGGTCAGTTCTGGATGTACGAAGTTTGAAAAGAGCTAGAATGAGATGCAGAAGACTGACTGAATGCGTGATAGCATCATGAAGGTGAGGAGCAAAGCCCTTTGACATATTTATAGAAGAGAGCCAGATCGCTGCAGCTGTTGTGACTGACGAGATGTGTTCGTGCCAGATTAAGTCTTCAGTGATTTGGACACCAACCAGCCGAAGTGAATGGTGCGTTGTCCCAACTCGACCATCCAACCAAACCGGATGAGAGCTAGGATGCTTCTTGTTAGTTAAGGAACAGTACTGTGTTTTGGAAGCTTTAAACTGCCTGTCTGATTTATAATTATATGCAGTGGACGAAAGAAGATATAGTATACAAAGTGCCCACAAAAAGGATCATATGCATGATGATCTATCTCAATATCTGTGGAAGATGCAGCTTAGGTTAAATTAATAAAAAATGTGTTCTTTGGGGCATATTTTCATTCCGTTGAAAAAAATATTTGGGAAAAACTAAATTTCACCATTTATTTCCAGAAATATCAAAAAGCTAATGAAACTTTTCCATTGGCACTTTTTAGTCAGTACATGATGGTGTTTTCAAATTTTGTGCCCGGCGTTTCGTATTTGAGAAACCATCATCAACTTGTATTGTTTATATGATCCGAAAAATAGTACACCCTGTATCTAATAGCATTTCTTTATACGAATTCAATGATGTATCACATATAGGTTATAAGAAAAATTGCTTTTTTCTGATTTTTTATTTTTTTAAGTAGGTGTTGCAAACAAATGCTTGACTTGACGTAAATACCTGTCAAAGAGTATTGTTAATATTGCTCTATTATCGTCAAAGATGAAAGGCGGTCCTTTTTTCGATGAAAAAAAGTTCGTCATGCTGACGTGCTACATTTTGTGATACAAAAATACTACAGAAATGTATATTGATAAAATTCCCTAAAGAAGTAACCTCACAGTTGGCTCGAAATTTATATAAATATGGTTTATTCAGAAAGCCTGTTAAATAAGATAAATCTTTAAATAAGACTCAGAATAGTGCTGAGAACACTGAGTTATTTATTTTGCGTAAAATGTGTAATGGAAGCATTCAATATGATTACACCAGAAATTTTATGTGATGTTTTGAATTCTACTGTTAGAAAATCATATTTATGTATAGAAAATGATGGCAACTTATTTGAACACCTCGTGTGAATAAAATAAGAATAATGTTGAAAATGTATTCATTATTCTAAATATCATTTTATCAAATTTTACCCCATCATATTATTATGTAAGATATAATATGCATCTATCAGTATTCACATAATCAAGCATTTGTTTGCAACGCCTACTTAAATAAAATAAAAAAAACACACTTTCCTTTATAATTAAGAAAACAAAAATGTAACATCGTTGAATTCACAGAAAACGAGGGTGAACTTCTTTTCAGACCAAAATAAAGTTGATGATGCTTTCTTAAAAACGAAACGTTACGCACAAAATTTAAAAACATCATCAGCAAGTGCTAACGAAAAAGTTGCATCAATTTTTTTATATAACTCAAAATAGTCAGAAAGAAATTAAAACCATTTGCAGAAATTTAAGTTTTTCCCAAACACCTCAGTAAGCGATGGAATTTTTACAAGTTTCTTAACGGCATGTAAATACACCCCAAAGAACGACAATTTTTCCTTTAACCTAAGCTGTATCTCCTTCAGGTATTGAGATTCCCATCCATATGATCCTTTTGTGTGCAGAATCAACTTTTGTACTCCAAGTGAGTTGAGCTTCAAGGACTATGAGGCGATTCAAGATTTCTTGATTTGGAACCAGTTCCGAAAATCGTGATTTGATAAGTAGAACGCTTTTTCTGAACAAAAAATGCCTTCGTAGAACGGGTTCGCCATACCTGTTTATTGATATTGCAGCTATACTAAGTAGCGAGACTCCAACACTGCCATAACGCAACGTCGGAACCATTGTGCATAGCACTGCACCGTGTATCCAGGTGCCATGGAAAAATTGACTAGCAGAAAATGGCAGTACGAGGAAGCAGAACAGTAGGTCTGATATGCATAAACTGAAACAGAAAAACCAATTAACACTAATAATTATTAAGCATAGTTCTTGGTTTTAATTTTTGAGCAGATCACAATGTCAGAAAAATAATAATTTTGTTACACGATCCTGAATTTGAAATTAAAATTGAATCGGCGATTTCAAAAGCCACCTATTTTTTTCCAAAATGACTCTTTGCTAGAAGCGCTACCAATGGTAGATGCACGTTTTAACCATGTAAGTCAACACATACCTTTCCGTTCAAATATAATACAAGTTCATTAAAAGCATGTCAAGTGACTTATGTTATATTTGCATGCACTTCTTGGCGTACCAGTATCCTCGATTTGTGTTCTTTTCATATTTATATTTAAGGGTAATTTTTAATAAAAGACAATGTAAGATAGGATTAATATGATTATTTTACTTAAGTTATACAGGGTGTCCCAGAAGTCGACGTCAAGCCGAAACCGGGTGATAGGCAAAGTCATAACAGCTATCAGAAAAATATTTAAAAAAATTGTATGTATGTGTTTTGAAAATTATAGGTCTTTGAAAAAGATATAGAAATTTCACACCCTACGGCAGTCTGTCAAATCCTGTTACTACAAATATTAACTTTTTTTGGATTTTATTTTTACAATGTAATGATGAATAATGCATCTTCAAACTGATGTGTCAACCTTACTGCCAACTTTTCTCGTTCAGGAAAAATTGCCACTTATTTCCCAACCAAGTATCCCAAAGTAAAACTTTGCTCAACTTTAACTGGCTGTATTGGAAAAAAATGTACTACGAGAGTTTGGCAAGTAACCTTAAAAGTTGGCGCATTTAATAACGATTCCAAAATGGTATAACACTTAGAAGATTACTCGTTAACACAATTTTTATTTGAAAAAAAACTGATGAAAATTTTTCAAAATTTCCTAATTAAACAGCGATTATGAAAACGCACAAGGACCCTTAAGGATAACTGTTTGCACAACAGTGGGCGTCAAAATGCTGCTGATGATGATTTACCTTGACAGCAAATGCTCAAACTGTTTTCCTTCAGCCGCAATACACGCTCGACAGCTTCTTAAAAGAGATCGAGTTATTAAACGAGCGAATCCACGGTTATTAACAAACTCAGCTGCTTCCAATAGTCTTTGCCGTAGCTCAGCTATATTTTGAATCGGCTTGAAATACACTTTTTCTTTTACAGTTCCCCAGTAAAAAAATCTAAAGGATTCAAATCAGGTGATCGGGCTGGCCACGGTATTGTACCAGACCGCCTTATCCATCTGCCTGGAAAGTTTTGATCGAGATACTCTCTCACTGAGAGTGCATAGTGCGCTGGGCAGCCATCATGCTGAAACCACATGTCCCTGTAAATACTCAGTGGCACGTCCACCAATAAATTTTGTACATGATTTTTCAAAAAAATCCAAATAAACTTCAGCAGTCAAAGTCTCTGGGAACTCTAACGGACCGATTATTTTACCATTTAAAATTCCTGTCCAATGGTTTATCTTGAAGCGATATTGAGATTTATCTTCTCTCATCAAATTTGGGTTTGCTACGTGCCACTCGTGTAAGATATGCAGGTTCATGTACCCATCTTTCTTAAATGTGGTCTCATCCGACCATAAAATTTTTTCAATGAACTGTGGATCTTTCCTGTGTCTTTCTAACATTGTGCGACAAAAAGCAACTCGGGGCTCATAATCCCGGGGCAGGAGAGGTTGAACACGCTGAATGTGGTATGGTTGAAGCACATCACTTAGCTCGTCATCCAGATCATCGAGTGTTCACAAATGTGCACCGCTTACTGTTCTCAGAGGGCCAACTACCAAACCAATCACACGGTGAGGGAAAATCTTTCCTTCCTTACGAAGACGTGGTGCTAGGAGCTGTCGAAGAAGACCCGAGTACTTCAGTGCGTGCAATAGAACTAAAAACAGGTGTGCCCAAAAGTACAGCCCATAGAATCTTGCAAAAAAACGTGCTCTATCCATACCACGTACCGCGTGTTCAAGCTCTTCTGCCCCGGGATTATGAGCCCCGAGTTGCTTTTTGTCGCACAATGTTAGAAAGACACAGGGAAGATCCACGGTTCTTTGAAAAAAATTTATGGTCAGATGAGACCACATTTAAGAAAGATGGGTACATGAACCTGCATAACTTACACGAGTGGCACGTAGCAAACCCACATTTGATGAGAGAAGATAAATCTCAATATCGCTTCAAGATAAACCATTGGACAGGAATTTTAAATGGTAAAATAATCGGTCCGTTTGAGTTCCCAGAGACTTTGACTGCTACGGTTTATTTAGGTTTTTTGCAAAATCATTTAGAAAATTTATTGGAGGACGTGCCACTGAGTATTTACAGGGACATGTGGTTTCAGCATGATGGCTGCCCAGCGCACTATGCACTCTCAGTGAGAGAGTATTTCGATCAAAACTTTCCAGGCAGGTGGATAGGGCGGTCTGGTACAATGCCGTGGCCAGCCCGGTCACCAGATTTGATTCCGTTAGATTTTTTTACTGGGGAACTGTAAAAGAAAAAGTGTATTTCAAGCCGATTCAAAATGTAGCTGAGCTACGGCAAAGACTATTGGAAGCAGCTGAGTTTGTTAATAACCGTGAATTCGCTCGTTTAATAACTCGATCTTTTTTAAGAAGCTGTCGAGCGTGTATTGCGGCTGAAGGAAAACAGTTTGAGCATTTGCTGTAAAGGTAAATCATCATCAGCAGCATTTTGACGCCCACTGTTGTGCAAACAGTTATCCTTAAGGGTTGGGAAATAAGTGGCAATTTTTCCTGAACGAGAAAAGTTGGCAGTAAGGTTGAGACACCAGTTTGAAGATGCATTATTCATCATTACATTGTAAAAATAAAATCCAAAAAAAATTAATATTTGTAGTAACAGGAGTTGACAGACTGCCGTAGGGTGTGAAATTTCTATATTTTTTTCAAAGACCTATAATTTTCAAAACAGATACATAAATTTTTTTTAAATATTTTTCTGATAGCTGTTATGACTTTGCCTATCACCCAGTATCGGCTTGACGTCGACTTCTGGGATACCCTGTATATCACTAACCCCATTTCTTGCGAAAATAATATAAATCAAGAGCAATATTTCGGACTGTTTCCATTATTATTCTTAATAATCTGCTAAGATTATAAAACATTTCAGTCTCTCAAAACTCAACTGCTATATTAACCCCAAAAAAGTTCTTTAAGGTGGTATATTTGTCAACGGCACGGCTTTTATTGTTTCTTTTCAAATGATGAAAATGAAACATTCTGACACACCCCAGAGAACGCACTCAAAATGAGATCTTTGCAATTTCGACAGAATATAACAGAATAATCTACTACGAACCCTAAATTGTAAAGTGGTTACTGAGGTTACGCGCTGGTATGTATGAAACAGACGTGTAATTCATCTACATGTGCATTTGATAAAACATGAAGCTGATTCACGCAAAAATCTCCACAATTCAAGTTGATTCACACCATGGAAAGGCAGACAATATAACATATTCATCGTCGTAATGTACAAAATATGCTATTTTCCTTTCACTCGTGGATACTGAGTCAAAGTTTCCGGGAATGACTGAAACTTTGTCTGAATCATCAATACATCTTGCGCGATGACCAAGTGTTGATTGCTCATTAGGATTTACACAATAAAATGTATAATGTATATTCTATGGTTCCTGGTAAAGAAAGCGAAAGTGAGTCACAAACAAGATAGAACCGTTATACTCGTAGTGACTACTTCATCGTGTGTATACAATATCAAATAATGTAGGCTAGTAGCATGGATTAAAGGGATTTAACTTTAGTGATAAATCTCATTTTGCTCCTGATAAAATTAGGATTACATAACCAGGCAAACATGGATGTCGAATATGTAGTAAAATAGAGAAAATTTTCATACCTGGCAATAAATGCTGCAGCTACTGTCCTTAGTTTGGAATGTCTTAGCAAAGCGCCAATCGTTAACATATTACCTAGTACTCCCACTATCATAATAATGATTGTGAAGGCACCTGCTGCAGTTAACATGGGCCTTGAGTATCTGAAACAAAAAGAAATAGGCGAATAGTAATTTGCCCCTTTCAAACCTCATCGATAACGAGATGGAAACTTCAAAGCATTGTATGGGTGAAAGAACTTTACTGAATATGACCTATTTAACCTGAATAAATATTTTGGGAAAGTTTGACAATACTAGTGTTGAACAGTGATAGGACTATCAAATTTTGTAATGCTAGGAACAAAGAGATGATACGTTTTTTTTATGGGAATTTTTAGGGAATTACACAGTTGGAGTTCTCGACACCATCGTTGTGGGACTTATTTGCAGTAACTTGCTTAGCAAAAGTTACTGCACCCTTAGAACGTTGTATTGAACACTTCTTAAAAAGTGATAGACAACTTGTTGCATAGCCATATAAGAGATTTGTTTAACATTTAATTCATCTCCAAACAGTATAACGTATGTTCTAAACGTTTTGGCGCAAAATTAATTGGCTTCAATTTTAACAAACAAAAAATAATATCAAGTTGCCTATGGAAACCAAAGGTTGTTGACTTACTTTATTGTCAGTTGACATTTACTTATTTTGGAGTTTTCGCTTTAAGATGTCGTATAAATTATAAATCAGAAAAAGTATCTACAAATTGGTTGGGCGGGTAACCAAAGCTGGAATCTGTCGAATATTCCAGAATGAAAACATTTCACCCAGAATCATTTATCGAACAATAGCGGATAAAGGGTCTTTATTGCACTAAACATTTTGTACATTACGAGGGGCGAGGTTTAGCGTGAGCTATTCTTCCACCTAACCCCGTTTTGATAATTTATACGAAATTACATAGAATTCTAAAATTCTAAAATCAATGAATTAACTTCATTTGACATGCAAGCTTTATACATTTGTACATCATCAGCATATAGATGTATATTCCAATCATGTGATATAAAATTTAATAAACCAGATGTATAGAATGTAAATAGTAATGAACCTAATACACTTCCTTGAGGAACACCAGAAATTACATTTTGTAAAGTGGACATTTTGTTAAATATCTTTGTGCACTGGAACCTGCCAGTCAGGTAGTTGTTGAACCACAGTAAGGCATTACTAGACAAACCATAATATTGTAGCTTTTTACATAACACTTCATGGTTGACCATGTCAAATGTCTTACTGTAATCTAACATCACCAATACGGTCACCATACCATCATCTATGAACTTGACTATATCGCTAATTACTTTTATAAGCGCTGTGGATGTGTTGTGTAGTTTTCTGAATCCCGACTGTGTATCGAGGAGGACTTCATTTACTTCTAGGTGGTCACGAAGTTGGTCCGCTACCACTTTCTCTGCAAGCTTGGACATCACAAGTAAGGTGCTTACTGGTCTCAAATCCTTCATCTGTATAGCGTTATTGACTTTTGCTAGTGGCGTTACAACTGTTTTCTTCCATAATGTTGGTACCTCTCCTGTGTTGAGAGATTGATTTATGATATCCGTTATTTCACTTTTGCAAAAAGAAAATACATTTTTCAGCATGATTGGAGTAATACCAATTATACCAGCAGCATTTGATTTCACATCTCTCAGTTTCTTTTCAATATAATCAGATGTAACTAGATGGAACAAACTTTTAGCTACGAGTGACTTTTTCTGTCCAGATAAAGTGTTAAGAAATAACTCATCAGGTTGAATGGTTGGCAACGAGTTCACAAAGTGATTTTTGATGGCTTCTGCGTCTTCAATGCCCTGAGATATCTGATTATTGGATTTTTGATGTATGTTCCATTTAGCGAAGTCTTTCCATAGTTGCTTGGGATTATTCCTGTTCTTATTTAGTTGATATTTTATATAAGCTGTTTTTTCATTCCTTAAAGCCACACCTGAGTAATTTCTAAGGTTGTTATAAAAAAATCGATCTAGTTCTTTTAAATTTATTGTAAGCTTTTCGTTTTAAATTTATTACACATTTCATTGTATAGGTGACGTACGGCCTGTAGAGCTTATGAAGTCTAATTCTTTTCATCGAAGCATGTGTCATACAGCAAGGTAATGTTCTCAGTGAGATGGAGGACTGTATCATCAAGACTTTGTAGATTATTTATATCATGCCAGTTCACAGCAGTTGCATCCTCAGCAAATTCAAAAGTGACGATAATAAAATGTTTTGGGAGTGTATTCTGGAATTTCAATCTTCAATTCACAGAAGCATAACCTGTAATCAGTTATATCATGTCTAAATCTCTCAAAAAGTGCATTTACTGCACAGACGTCAGAGAGCAAAAAACCAGGTTGGAATGTCAACAAGAAGACTGGCTCGTCAATATAGATCTTCGAAGAGTAAGATATCGTTGGAACTCAGGAAGAATGGTCTTAAATATCGAAGAGACTTAAGTGCCAAAAATACTCTCAAGCGTAACTTCTTCGCATATCAAGATGCTGTCGTCAACTGAGTCGGGTATACTTTGCCAATGGAAAAATAATCATTTTAGATGACGAAAAGTATTTCACTTTTAGTAATTCTGAAATGGACAACGTAGAGGAATGCCCTGACAATGTCAGATACAAACATCAAGACAAATTTGCAGATAAAATCCTTGTCTGGTGCGCAGTTTCTAACGAGGGAGTTTCCCAACTTTTGTGGGAAGAGTGAGGGATGAAGCTTCGAATAGTCAGAGCTATATTGATAACTGCCTTTCTAAATTGCCTCAGTTTGTCGACGAACATCATGCTAATGACCATATCATGTTTTGGCCAGACCTAGCATGATGCCATTACTCAGGAGATACACAAAACTAGCTTCGATAACACAACATAACTTTTGTTCCCAACAGCGATAATCCTCCAAACTTTTGGGCTTTACTTAGGAGGAAGGTTCATCACGGAGGCCGGAAAGCCCACGATGAAGAACAATTGAGATGAGAGAAATTGATCTGAATTCCATCCAGGACCTCATGAGAGAGATTTGAAGAAAATTGCGTCTGGTAGAGCAGAATGGGCCAGTCCACATAATCCGATAGTATAGGTTAGTTAAGTATTGAGTTGTAATTTATGATAACTAGTTAGTGTTTGAATAAATTTCTTCATTAAAAAAAATCCGCCAAATACTTTGTGCCAACACTTTTAGGACATACATACGTACATACTCGTATATAGGAACGAGTACATAAGCTGTACCCATGTAGCTACAACTGCGGTTCTCCAATAAACCGTCTTCTTTTCATAAAATGACATTGAAAAGGTCTGGCATAAGCTACTGATATGTTATCTTAAGTTGAATAATTCAAAATTCTCTGCGATATTAGAGGAATCTAGTATGAACATACAAAATAGGCTATGAGGCGTATTTACGTATCGATACAGATAACACTATAGGATAAATATGTTACCACCCAAATAAATTAGAAACACTATATACCGGTTGTTTCAAATTCGACTTTCACCATTTGGATCTCGAAGTCGGTTAATAATAATAGCCTTTATTTAACCTGGGGGACCTCGGTTGGCCGCGTGGGTCAGAGTGTCGTGCTACTGATCAGCCGGCCGGCCGGGCCGCGAGTTCGAATCTCGCCTTCACCATGGATGTTGTGTGTTTGTTTTAGGCAGCAGCGGTGGCCGGTGGCCGCAGTAGTAGACTCTTCGGTCTCCTGATCAGTCGCCGTGCGCTGTGCGGGTTCGAGTCCCGTCCCAGGAGAAATTTTTCTCTTGGCTATGGATGTTGTGATTGTCCGTAGGTGGTAGATGGTCTCTGACTGTCGAACGCGGAGGTACCACCCGGTGGTTTTCGTAGGCGGAGCCAGAATGTGTGCATGTTGCATGCACACGTGTTCCCTCGCCAGAGTCCGTGTGGCGTCCCCCCTTTCCCATGTATCCCCCTATAGCCCCACGGTACGCAATGGGTGCTTAGGCCTTAGGCCTTCGTGGTAGTTGGAGTATAAAAAAAAACCTGGCGGGTGTCAGCTAAAGCTGCTTTTCATACCAACCAAATGGGGGCAATGTTGCGTATTCAGGTAAGCAGGAAATTGGCACACAGAGAGCTTCACAATTCAAGTATTTTCGAAAAAATTACGAGTTTTTCCAAGATCGTTTTTTTTGTCTTTATTTGAGATATGAGTTCAAAATAAAAACGTTAACATCGCCACTTTTTCTTTTCTAAAAGATGGCACACCTAATTGTATTTCAATATGTCGTTTTGCCTTTTGTTCTCGATCATCAACTTTGTTTTTTATAGACGACATATTGGATTCCAAAACTGTATAATATAACAAACTAAGTTATTTCAAAAAAACTAATATTTCACTGTTCGCGTCGAAATTACAGTTTATCACATATTTATCTGACTTAACCACCAATGCTTCAATTTCTGAGAAGCATCCAGATAACTTGCCTATTTGTCGACTATAACAAGCGTTGTTTTAGTACGAAGGAGGTGCACAACATAACACCGCAGCACTAGATTAAAGTTATTTGAATGCAAGGCGTGTTCATCGGTTTAGATATGTGAAATGTGTGTAGGAAGCTGCAATATCGTCGAGGCTTTTAGTTTTTCCAAAATGTTTCTACCAGTTACATAAAGTAAAACTGTTTTCCAATGTTTTCAATACGTTAAATAATATGAAAAAGTTTTAGAATTAGGTTGTTTTTGATCAGATGACTTAAGACCAACTATAGGAAGATTACTTTTTTAGATGTTTAAGGTTTCATAATACCAATCCATGTGTCCAATATCACACCATTAAAATCGGTATAGAGACTCAAATAAATTCAGAAAAAAGTAACAATTTCGAGAAAATTCAACTTCTTTCGTCTATCTCAGGAAATACAGGTACTCAGGTTTGTGAAACCTTTTGAGTGCCATTTTCTTAGTTATCTAAATGTACAACTTTGCCCTATGTATCTGACTTCGAGATCCCAATGGTGAAAGTCGAATTTGAAGCACCCGGTATCTCCAAACATCATACAGACGTATTATTTATCTTCTTTTCAATTTCAAGCGCCTTCCCCATTGTCGGAACAGGAAGACAATAGACTCTTTA